ATGCATTGAAAACCAATTAATCCGTTTCGGAGGTCAGAAAAAAGTCCAAAAAAGTTTTATCTGTTCAAAACTCTTTATAAAGTGTACTTTAAAGGCATAAATACTGTACAGAGACATGATTACAAAATTTCCGAAATGTCTCCAAAACTCGATGCAAAAACTGCCTCAACACCTCCACACTCAACGCCACGTACTGCCCACAGACTCCAGCATTCACGGGGCTGGCGCTATAAACCTTCCAGGTGCAATGCATCCTGGGGAAACTTGCTTCGTATTGCAAAAAAAAAATTTGTAAAGCGAGGCATTATTTTCAATGGATTTTCATTCGTAAACCGAAAATGACTTTAACCAAGGCGTTCGTAAACCGAGGTACCATTGTAATGCCTTTTTTTATGATAAGGAAGACTCTTTATATCTACTGTTGACAGCCTGGTAAATGACACCTGAACTGAGAGAAATACATGGGTCTGCAGTACTATTGCTGTGAAAATGCTAGTTCCCTGGTTGCCTCTAGTCACAATGCTTGGAGCCACTGATGAAAAGCAAGTATGCAGTTAGTGAAGCCCAAAGAGTGATGAAATGTGAGAAATGAGCTGCATACTTTATTTCCGTTTAACCATTTCAATACCGGGCAATTTTACCCCTTCCTGCCCAGGCCATTTTTCAGGTTTCAGCGCTCTCACACTTTAAATGACAATTGCGCGGTCATACAACATTGTACCCAAACTAAAATTTTATCATTTTCTTCACACAACTAGAGCTTTCTTTTGGCGGTATTTAATCACCGCTGGGGTTTTATTTTTTGCTAAAACAAAAAAAGACCGAAAATGTTGAAAAAAAAACATTTTTCTGTTTCTGTTATAAAAGTTTGCAAATAAATAATTGTTCTTCATAAATTTAGGCCGAGATGTATTTCTACTACATGTCTTTGGTGAAAATAACCCAAATTAGGATGTATTTTTTAGTTTGTAGGAAAGTTATAGAGTTCACAAACTATGGGATAGATCTGAATATTGATCAGTCCTGAAGTACTGACGACCAATCTAATTTCTTGAGGTCCAAGAATGTCAGAACAGTACAGATATCCCCCAAATGACCCCTTTTTGCAAAGTAGACAGCCCGACGTACTTCATAAGATGCATGGCGAGTTTTTTGAAGTTGTATTTTTTTTTGTCATAATTTTTCGGAAAATGAAAAAATTAAAAAAATTAGTTTCACAATTTTTTTTTTACATATTGTCACCAGTGCAGTACAGCATCATCATATAACTGGCATGGCAGTGATCAGGGACACTGACTGGTGACAGTATGAAAAAAAAAAAAATATATATTTTTTTTTTATTAAATGTTTCTTTTTTTTAAGATTTTTTTCCATATTTCACTATGACCAAAGTAGTACAATGTTACCATAGTAACATTGTACTACTTTGGGGAAGTGATCAGTATTTTTTTATTTTTACACAATTTGCTTATAGCAAAGAATTACTTTGCTATAAGCAGGCATTTACGTGAATGACATCGATTCACTCAGGGTTTTTGGTTTTTTTTTGTGCTTAGCTGTGATTTGGCCACAGCTAATCACATGACATGTGCATGTGATTAGCTGTGACCATTCACAGCTAGACACTAATATACAATGGATGGCATGAATGAAGCCATCCATTGTATACAACTGTCATGTGACCTGCTGTGATTGGTCACATGGTACCGGCAACGGGGGCCAATACTCAGATCTGTCATCGGCCGTGTCCAAGGTACATGGGCGGTGACATATCGCGCCGCTGCGCGGCTCTGCAGGAGCGCAATCCACGCATGTGCAGGAGGACGCCAAATAGCGTCCACCCGGAACGCTGATGACATTTGCCGGCCGCCATTCGGCCATAGGGCGGGCAGCAAATGGTTAATGACCAAGGCAATATCAAAGCCTATTAATCAGCATGAAACCGGGAATCTAGCATTGTCATTCACACAGATCAACACAGGTTCACTGCTAGGCAGTACCGGGACAAGGTCATCTGGTGCCCAGGACAAAGATGCCAAACTGCAACCCCCCCCCCCCACTGTGGAGTAGGGAGGGTTAATATTGACATACATAGCATGCATCATCAAAATATATGTAACATATGAGTTTAATAACAGTACAAGTTCCATCCTGCAGCAAAACATGCAGCTAACAGTGAAGTGTAAAGAAATGCGCAAGCATCAGTGTGAGGACAAAAAGCCTGTGTTGGTGGTGTCGCTAAGAGGAAAACATGTCCCTGCATTAACTGTGTCACTGGAAGCATGTCCCTACATTGCTGTCAGTCTAAAGATGAGCATACATGGTTTTTTTTTGTTCAGTTGGTGGACGGTATGAAAAAAACAAGAAAACACAGATTTCCCCATCTAAAGTGAGGTGAACAGGGGAATCCTCCCTGCTGTGCTATTGAATTCTGTCAGAATGCACTGATCAGCGGCTGATTGAAGGATGTTTTCCAACAGGACTGTTTAGCAGAAGCCGATCTAATGATCAACTTCTGTGGAGCCAGTAGGGCTACACACAGCTTGGAATTCAGCAGGTCCCTGCTGAACCAGCTGAATTTTGATCTATGTGTACCTAGCTTGAGGGACTCTGTGTGACTCTGAGGGAGGGAGGTTGGCTTTCAGAGGGAGATGGGAGCTCAGGAGCTACATTTTGTATCTTTGGGCCCCTTTCACACGGGGAAAATTCCATTTTGATCTGCGGCGGTTCTGTCTGCTGATCTCCTGCTGGCCGGACCAGAGAGAGCGGATGACAAGCCCTAGTCCACTCAGTTTATGCACAGCAGACATGGACAAACCCTGCTCTGCCCTATGGACTGACGCGTTTAAATGTACTCTGCTGTGTTTATACCCGACTGTCCTCTGATCTTATCTGCTTACCCTAGGCGGAGGGGGATGGATCTGTTTTTTTTTTTTTGTGGACTGAAATTGGAGGTAGGCGAGTGTAAACAGACACAGGTCTATTTACACCAGCTGGTCCATAGGGATGAATCACGGGTCTGATCAGGTTTTGCTGAAAAACCGACAGGTGTACCTGGTCAGACCCTTTGTGTGAAAGGGGCCATATTCTGCCTACAAGCCAGATTTCTTACAATATATTAGCAACTACTGTACATACAGATTTTGCAAAGTGATTTATACTATGAGTCATTGCAGAGATTTTAAGTCAACTGTAACTCAAATTAACTATTTTCCAACCGCACAATAGCTGAATTTGAATTTCAGAGATGCAGGTCCTGGTGCATTAATCTTGATTCCTTTGGAGTTTATAAGATTATGTGTGCTCTCTTGTATTATTTACCATTATGTCAGACAATTTTCCAAAGGGATGATAATTGAGGGGCGTCTCTCTTTAACATGTACCTTACCTGACACTGGTAGTTTTTTTCCCCAAGAGTCTGTCATATGGAGATAATGGTGTACTGTAGGAATTTAGAGGCAGAAAAAAAAACACCCATCACTTGTGAGTTCAAGGAGGAACTTTAGAGCATAAAAAAATGCTGCAAAGTGCCTGAGTGCACAGTGACGCTAGGTGCATTCCCCTGTTAATGCACTCTAATGGGTTGAATCATTGCCAATAAAATGTATTAACATTTATTTTGTTTTTGCTACTGCTAAACCCCTGTAGGAGACAAAAGTGTCAACAGAATAGGTCGTGCATGAAGCCTACAGAAGGCATGTCACCTCTTCACATAGTTGTAGAAAACACAACCCTGCCCTGGAATAGGAACTATCCTGGAGACATTTTACTGCCGGGCTGACTAGAAATCAGAGGCAGAGTGCACAGGGAACATGAATCCTTGAGTCTGCAATGTGAAGCACTGGTCTCCTCCTCATGGTTAGTACCTCACAGAGCACACATATCACAGCCGCCCTCTACAGCTGCCTTCCTCTTATATCCCCCTCACACCACCATCTTTCTTACAAAGATGAGTCTGTATAGGTGTTTGGGGATTTTTAGGATTAGTAAACCTGGGTTCACATCCGTGCAACTCGGTATATCGCATGTGATTCGCACAGGAACCGCACCACATTCCTGTGCAAATCACATGCGATTTGTGTGCGGTATGATCGGAGCCATACATTTTGTATGGCTCTATTTGCACCGCACCCAAAATGTGCAGGACCCTTTCTTGGGTCCGCACTAGAATCAGATCACATGGGTATTCACACCTATGCAATCCGATTCTGCACATCACACCACGTTTTGCGGACCGCTTTCAGGGTGTTGTTAACTTCACCTATACACCCGCAGCGGTTAGCATGAATGGGGTGCGATTCTGATGCAATGCAGAATTCACTGAAAACAATGCAAATTCCACACTGAAAACTATGCAATTCCAATTCCATTCCACACTGCATCAGTGTGAACCAGGGCTTAAGGTTTAGCCTGGAATTCCATTTTTTAGGTCAGGTTTACACTGGTGTGTTGCGGTTTGGCCATAGCACAGTACTCTTGTCAAGCTTTCAGAAAATGCAGCAAGAACATGTGTGAACCCAAATTTTCTCCAGGGGGAAAAAAGGATAAGTGCACTCTGTTTTACAGTAGATCTATCCTTTTAAAGGCAACAGTATGGACCATTTCTAGGAATGGTCACACTAAATGAACGGCACTGCAGAACACCAACGTGATGCTGAAAATTGACCTTTAGCTGAATTCACAGCTTTGCATTTTTATTTTAATGGAAAAACACATGGGGGGGAAACACACATAGGTGTGAATGCAGCCTAAACAGGAAACAAAATAGCAAAGACTAAGGAACTTCAGCAACCTTTGTACACATTCAACAAGGAAACCTCAATAAAGTTTGGTTGAACATTTCATTTTTAAAAATAAGAAAAAAAGTCAAAGACAGGAAACAGTTTCCAAACATAACATGGTGTGATCAGTTACAGTTTGGCCCGTTATCCCTCTCCTGGACGTGTCCCAGGAACAGCTCCCAATGCCAGGGCAGCCCCCACTTTGCTCTACCCCCAGCCTCAGGACTCATCCGGTTTGTCCACGGGCGGCCCGCACGGCTGCAGCATCTTCTCCATCAGGTTGAAGCGCACTCTGGCTTTGCTTTCATTCTCCGCCACTGCAAAGTAGTTCAACAGGTCGAAGTGGCCCATGTAGGAGCAGTAGGAGTCCCTGTGCTGGTTGACCAGCCATTCCCACTTGGTGGTGTCCGCATGGCCCGTACCAATGTATTTAGACTGCAGATGCTCTAGCTGGCTGTGAATGGTGTATCTGTCCGTCATGGCACCTCAATCACCCGGCAAACAACAATTACTATAGAAGGAATCACACCTTTGAGACTGTAATCAAAGCGGAAGAGACGAAGTCAGAAACACAGGCACCAAGCAAGGACCGCTTCCACTTTATCCCCTCTACCCACGGATGTCAGTTCTGGCTCTGTGATAACAGACAAAACAATGTCAGTTTATGGTCAGGCTGATACACTCATGTAATAAAGAAACAGACAGTCTGTATGACCCTGAAAAATGAGAAAGCATGTGTGGCACGGTTGATTTTTTTTTTTTCCCACACACACATGCAAAAATGACCCCTTTTCATTGAGAAAGAATAATAAAACCCCCAAATTCTACAAATATTCTGAAACCAGATGACCTAGTGAATGGAACAATAGCAGTTGCAATGTATAGAAGGCTAGGCTCACACTATTGTGGGTGTGGAAATTACAACTGTTCCTGCAGCCACAAGCACATACAGACAAAACTGGCTGCTCGTTGATATGTGGGGGAATGCTGGGCATTTGCAAAAGCACCCTGTGATTTCACGGTCCTCCTGGGGCAGCGCAGGAGGACATGTGACTGCACTGGAGGGGGGTCAGGAGGACAGGCAGGTTGAAAGGCAATTGTGCTGAGGGGTACAGGAGGTCAGGAGATTGTGGGGGGTAGGAGGACAGGCAACCACTTTGGGAGGGGGATCAGGACAGGCAACCGCGCTGAAGGACAAGCAGGTGGAAAGGCGATTGTGCTGGGGGGTACAGGAGGTCAGGAGACTGCACTGGGAGGGGAGGTAGGAGGACAGGCAACCGCTTTGGGAGGGGGTTAGGACAGGCGATTGCGCTAAAGGACAAGCAGGTGAAAGGCGACCAAGCGGGGGGGGGGGGGCGGGACAGGAGGTCAGGGACTGCACTGGAGGAGGGGAGAGGTAGGTAGGAGGCCACTCTGGAGGATTAGGAGAACAGGTGAGGGAGGGGAGGGAAGGAAGGGGGGGAGGGAAGGAAGGAAGGAAGGGGAGGGAGGGAAGGAAGGAAGGGGAGGGAGGGAAGGGGAGGGGAGGGGAGGGAGGGAAGGGGAGGGGAGGGGAGGGAAGGGGGAGGGGAGGGGAGGGGAGGGGAGGGGGGGAAGGGGAGGGGAGGGGAGGGGAGGGGAGGGGAGGGAGGGAAGGGAAGGGGGGGAAGGGGAGGGGGAGGGAGGGGGGGAAGGGAAGGAGGAGGGGAGGTAGGAGGGGAGGGGGGGGAGGATTAGGGGAAGGGGGGGGGAGGGGGGAGGGGGGGGAGGGGGGGGAAGGGAGAGGGACAGGCGAGGGAGGGGGACTGATGGAGGGGGAGGGGGGTGAAGGGAGAGGGAGGGGAAGGGGAGGGGAGGGGAGGGGAAGGGGGGGGAGGGGAAGGGACAGGTGAGGGGAAGGGACCAGGGAGGGGAGGGGAGGGGAAGGGAGGGGGGGGGGAGGGTCTTCATTTTTCCTGGGGGAGGGGAAGGGAGGGGAGGGAGGGTGTCAGGACAGGCGACTGCACTGAGGGAGGTGCAGGCAAGAGGACAGGTGGGGGGGGGGGGGGGGTGGGTAAGGCAGGTGACCATGTTGGGGGGGGTAAGGAGGGCAGGGGGCTGTGCTTGGGGGGAGGCAACTGCACCGGGGTGATGGGGCAAGAGACTACACGGGTGCGGGGGAGAGGAGACCACATTTTGCACGAGACCCGAGAATGGAGACCATATGGGAAAGGGAAGAGGGGCACAAACAGGCTGCACATGGGGGTGGGTTTGACAGGAGAACGCATGGGTGCGGGGGGTGTGTGTGCGCAAGAGACCGCGCTCACGGGGGGGATGCAGGAGACTGCACGCAGGGGTTGGCTGGAGACCGCTCTGAGGCGACAACGGGACGCAGGCCACGCTTGGGGTGGGGCAGGAGACCACCCTTGGGAGGCTAGGCGTAGGACCACAGGTGATGAGATGATGGAGGATAGACACATTGATAGGGAGATGTTTACTAAATGGTCATTATAAGGAGGATCGCCAATTTTCTTATTGGGATCACTTGTTTCAGACCAGAGTGCCAAGAAACTTGGAAGGAGTGTGTGTGTGTGTATATATATATATATATGGATTGATTCACCAACACAAATCAAGAGCCGGGTTAATGGGAGAGGTGACGGAGCCTGGTAGCAGCCCCGACCACGTGCCTGGACGGAGGTGTGTGGACTCCAGGTCACACTGAGGTAAGGAAGCCCACACAGGGCTCCTCCATACAAGGTACCTCACTCATTGCAGCCCCCGGTTAAGTGCAACAGTACATCCCGCTCACCCCGTCTCCTGTACACGGTCGGGATCTCCGCCATTAGCGAAGTTTAACACACAAACCCATACTTCCCTCTGTGTGGCCCACGGTAAAATGCTACAACCCGCACTCACCCTCCGGTCTTCAGAGAGCTGAAACGACAAAATGGCCGACCACGCCTGCGCACTCTGCTGCCGCCGGGTCACTCTGAGTAAACCGGGCGGAGCCCAGGTCTTCGGCGACCATCTTTGTTATGTGAAAATGACCACGCATGCGTACTCCGTTGTCGCTAGGTCCCTCTGAGTAAAAAGGGGGGGGGGGGAGGGAATTTTCCGGCTTGCATCCTTGTTATGTGTCAGTGACTAGTTCTTGCAATGTATGGTGAGTGCAGCTGGTAACTGTAGTGCGGAGCGGTAATAGGCGCGGTATTCTACAGGGGGCACCTCAAGGCTGCATGTCTGTTATTTTTAATGGTGCACTGAAATGAGAATTCAAAATGCACAAAGTTAAGCTCCACCCAAAAGGGGAAGTTCTGCTTTAAGGACTGCCTCCCACTCCCCATTAAAGATTGGCACCTTTGGGGGATGGGGAGGATTGGGTACCCAAATTTGACAAGTACCCGCTCCCACTTCCAGTCCGATCACCTAGGGAAGTGGAAGGTGTCCTCCCTGTAGTCTTTTGGGACACGTGGATGCTCGTAGAATGGCGTGAATCTGCGGTACTTAAAAATCTCCATGGGTGATGCTTTAAAAATTTCTGCAGGTTAGCAGTGTAAAGTTACAGAGGAGGACTAGTGTGAGAATTATTGCTCTTGCTCCGACGTTCGTGGCAATACCTCACATGTGTGGTTTGAACACCATTTACATATGTGGGCATGGCCTACGTATGCTTTCACCACATGGGGGGGGGACACTTTAACCTTTAAAAAAAAATTTAATGGTTTTTTGGGTTTTTTTTGCACTGTTCCTTTAAAAAAAAATGTAATCACTTTTATTCTTATCACAAGAAATGCATGCATCCCTTGTGATAGAAATAATTAGTGACAGGTCCTCTTTATGGAGAGATATGGAGTCAATAAGACCCCACATCTCTCCTCTGCAATGTAAAGCATTGGATAAAAAAAAGCATTGATCTAGTGCTTTAAAAAAAAAAAAAAAAAAATGTCCAAAACGCTCTAAGGGCAAAGAGAGTGGCGGCCATCTTTCCTTTACTCATCTCTATGCCCAGCACCTGGATCGATGGTTTCTCAGGTACGGCTGAGAATTACCGAGCGGTGGCGAGGGACGGCAGACGGGCGGCGGCAAGGGGCGGGGTTTTTTCTGCACCTGTATCGGTGCTTTTTTTTTTTCATTTTGGTCGACGGCCAAAAAGGGTGTTTTTCGGCCAAATCATTTTGTCCACCGAAATTTCGGTGCAATTATTTTACTGTCTTTTGTAGCAGGACGGTCTCCTCCTAAGGATCACGTGCCCGCCCCCACCTTAAGTGTGATTCTCTGTACTGAAAGCAAAGCTTCACCCTAAGGCCTTGTTTAAACCACACGTGTAGAAAAACCTATTCAAGAACGCAGATTTCACTTTGCAGAGACATCATGCACATTATAATAAATTTTTTTACAGGCTGCAGATTCCTTTGCAGAAAAAAAATCTGCACATGATACTAGTGTGGTGTGAACAGGGCACATAGAGAACAATTGCTTTAAAAACAGTGTGAATGAGGCCTGAAAGGGAAGTTTTGCTGTCCCCCCCCCCCCCCCTCCCCTTCCCACTTTGGGACTCGGGACCATCAGAAATGTCAGTCATAAATGCTGGGTGAAGCAAGGGGATAATTCCCAGGTCTTGAGAAATATAGCATGAGAGTCCTTCAAAATGCTAGACATTTGTTCTTAAGCATTAAGGCAGTCATGGGGTCTTTCACACCCTGGAATGAGACTGGGTTTTTTTTTTTTTTTTTCTACAGGCCTAGGCAATCGTTTTCAAAAGTAGATAGGATGCCAACTTCTGTTGATGGGCATACAGGCCCAGGATGGGACAATGTAGTAAGGCTAATTTGGCATCCTTAAGGGTTATGAAAGGAAATAAAGTATACAGCAGGCCAGAGACCCAAGTCCAGAAGCCTATCAGTCGTGGGCACATCCACCAAGTGTTTAGAACATCCCCGCCATGGCCACAACCCCTAAAGCATCGATCACTGTAAGTAGGACTACCATTGGCGATCTGGGCAGGGGCCCAGTATCACTGCAGAAGTACTTTATAGGCGGCTTTGAGGGTAGCAGTGTTGGTGGGAAAATTTTGCCACAGATGACCAGGCCTCGTTCCAATCTGCCGGGTCTATCACAGTTGTCAAGTATTGCTCCCACTGAGCCACATCAGAGAGAGGGGCGGAAGATGCCTGATGATTCAAAGAGGCATAAAGGGTCAAAATAAGGTCCGGTGACCCTGGGGCATGTTGACAGACATGTTCAAAATGCACACCACTTCCTAAAACTCAATCTATCCAAAACTGAGCTCATAACATTTCCTCCCCCACATGCCTCTTCCCCTGATTTCTCAGTCAAGATCAATAGCACAACTATCAACCCATGCACGCATGCCAGGGTGTTAGGGATAACCCTGGATTCTGAATGATCCTTTAAGGCCCATATCCAATCCCTGTTCAAATCATGCCGCCTCAACATCCACAACATCTCCAGAATACACCCCTTTTTAATCAATGATACTACAAAGCTTCTAATTCACT